GTTGTGGGGATTGAGTCGGGTCCCGAGTGCCACCATTGCGCGTCCGGCGACGTGGACACGGCAGAGCACACGCTCGCCGTGTGCACGGGCTGGGACGCGCAACGCGCCACGCTCACTGGCGCAATAGGACGAGATCTGTCGCTGCCGGCCGTCATACGTGCGATGGTCGGCAGCGAACAGAGTTGGGCCGCCGTCGCCTCCTTCGCACTCGAGGTGATGGCGGCCAAAAGAGAGGCCCTGCGGGAGCGCGAACGCGCCAACGAGACGCTGTCGCCCCGCAGGGCTCCAGCGAGGGGCCGCCGGCGTGCGAGGTACGCGGCGGCCCTACAACCAAATTGAAGAGTGCCACGCGCGACGGGTCGGGGGACCTGTCGCGCCGATTGTGGCGGATGGCCCTCCTCTCGTGTTCTGAGGAGGGTTTCATCATAGGGTGATGGGAGGGGTCTAAGATATGACCCCTCCCTACACGAGTCGAGCCCCTACCAAGGGGCTCCCCCCTAGCCGGGCCGTGGATAAACTAACGTAGATGCCACGGTCCGGTTGGGCGTAGGAGAACACCGCGGGGTTTAGTGGGTAGTCCGGTCTTGTTCCCAGGCCCCGAGTCCCACACGAAACCGTCCCTGCTGCCCCCGCAGCATGGACGGCGAAGTGCATAAACGCATTCCCCGCGTTAACAAAAAAAAACACACACTATAATTATTAATTCATAAATTAGTTGTTTTTCTACACAAACAATTATTAAATTTATATATATGGGAAGTCCTTTTCTCCTTAAGTACAGGTCTTCCTAGTTAAGGAGTCAAGGCAACATTGAATTTGAATTTCTTGTGTATAACAATAAAGATTTTTTCATTTTTTCACCATAAAGCCTCCATTACCTAAAGTCGGCTATAATATTGCTCGCAAGTAACGCCCTAAAACAACGCACCCTAGCGACAGAAACCAAAACAACTCTGCGCGGAAAATGTCACCGCTGACGCTACTCTCCGACAGATGGTTCTGTGAGGGGTCACGCTGAGTCAATGTGACATAACGAATATTCTCTTCCAACATTTTTTTTTTTCGGTATAGTCGAAACTTACTATAATTGTTTTATAATATCTATTGCATTCATCCGTATAGGCAATAAACAAGTTGAACAACGTTTAATATCTTCTCATCCCGTTTAGTAAGGTGAGTAAATCGCGCGAATGCTCTGCAACCCAGAAGGCAGATGGCGTTAGATATTGTTATGGACCTGTTTTATTTATAATTTTATTTCGTTTTTATATTACTTTTATCTTATTTCTCTTTTGTAATGAAACTTAATTCAAATTTAACATTATGTCACCTTGTGTTGTTTTCTACTACACTAATGCTGTTTAGAATATCCAAACTCCAAATTATATTGTAAGTAACTATATATATAATTATTTTATATAGAATAAGTATAAGTAAAAGATATATGTAGTGGTGCATAAACGCATTCCCCGGGTTAATAAAAAAAAAAAAAAAAAAAGGGGAAGGAAAGGAAGCTGAGTTCAGTTGAATACTTATTGAATGTTGATCACAAATATGATGAAGTGTTTACATTTGCCAATATTATTTGATTGTTGCGTTGTTCTTTTATTTAGAAAAGTTACTAATTTTATAAAGACTTTAGAATTGTTTATTTATGTAGCGCATGAGCATGAGCATGGCTAACGCCTCTTGTGGGTTCGAGACGCCGTCTTTACTTTTGACATGGTGCGATGTTTCAGATGGTATGACGTAGGAAGCGTCTCGCAGGCATATATTGGCTGGAGTAGTCTGATCTGAGTAGTAGTTTTGGTGCTCGCACTTTACCATGATGATGCCCACAAAGTCTAGAAGGCCTATTGTTGATGGTTATAAGAATAACGCAGTCTCCGACATATTATAATTATTATTTTTTTTCATTTACTAACTGATAGGGGGAGCTTTTTACACGTTTGTGTTATGTTTATTACATTTTCAACTGCAAGTTCTATGAGAACAACTATCGCTAATGGAAATTTTCATAACAAGCTTCCTGATTTGATCTGCCCTTAGTCCGAGCTTAGTACTGAATCCCGCCCTAAAACTCCAGAATAAGGCGATCCTATTACCTAAACGTGAGTTCCTCACGCCTTACAATTCCGCTTTGAGCTGTCCCTCCGTGTAATGTCTGTCGACAAATTCGAGTTTCATAGCATGTATCTTTAGATAAAGATAAATGTAGCCTGCATATGAAAATCATAATATGATGCGGGTTCGCTGGCCGCGTGACATCTCTCTATGGCCCTGGACACATTATTGTTATCACTGACCTTTTGACCAGACGCTAATAAATTCTCGATATGCGTTTATTATTAACGTCGTGGCCAAGACATGAAAACCCATTATGCAATAAGTGATCAACGCGCAGCGTCCAGCTTTCATTTAGAACAGGACACACGATTCGCACCAAAAAGAAATAAAAATAAAAGAAATTAAAAGAATCATATATACTATTTAATCTATTTTATATTATTATCTGAATGTTGGAACCCAACTGGATTCTTAATGAAAAGATGCAAACACTAAATGTTAAGTGAAAGCTAACTAACACATCTAAAACGGCATCAAATTCGGTTAACTCGTTTCTGAAAATTCACGAGCAGACGCCGACCTTTAACATATTTGTTATATGTATGTAAGTATATATATATCAGATACAAAAGATAATGGACGTTGTTATGAAGCTATAACAACACTAGTTGAGCGTTATCGCAGGTCAGGGCGCAGTCAGGCGCTCGTCATGGACCCGGAGCGACAGCCGCTGCTCGCGCGTGTTCCAACACGACACGCACACCACAGGTACAAACAAACCATCGCTCATTATGTCAATACTATGTCAGCAACTAGGTACTTCTTATAATTGGTTGTTTAATATATACGTTTCATTAATATCTCACTGTAAATAGAGCAATCGCTTAACAAACCTAGAAACTTAGCTAATTAACAAAAAAAAAAATGTAGAACTTTTGTCCACCACCAATCCGATCGATAAGTTTCCGGAGAAGTTACGTGTCAAATAAATATTGGTAAGGAATAAAATAAAGTACGTTTGTGTTTAAAGATATATTTAAATAAGGACGCGTGAAGCGTGAAGTGTGAAGGTAAGCGTGTTGCGGTGGTGTCGGCAGGCAGGTGGGTGAGCTGTGGGCGCTGTCGGCGGGCGAGGTGGCGGCGGCGCGGCGCGCGGCGGGGTGGCGGGGCGCGCGCGCAGCCCTGCTGGTGGTGCTGTGGGCGCTGACGGCGGCGGCGCTGGCGCTGGCTGCGCGCGCGCTGGCGGCGGCCCCGTGCGCGCCGCTCCGCCCCGCGCCGCAGGTGCCGCCCGCGCTCGTCTCCCTGGCGCCGCTCATGGCCAGCTTGCGCGACCACCATCAGAAGCAATACATATTATAGCTTTGTTACATTTGTATTACCGATACTGAATATGTCTCCGCAAGGACAAGTTCGGCTTCGATGCGAGGTGATATGTTTTTTTCCGTTTACGATCATTTTGTTGTAATAATCTTATGTATTATGTGTGTGGAATGTAAACATGAATGTATTGCTTTCTTATTATATGCTTTTATCATATCTTTTGTATATTTTTGTTTTCCGTACAATCGGAGCCAGGAATTGGAAGCAGGGGTAGGGCCGTTCAAAACTTGCCACGAGCGGCCATTATTGCACTAAATGTCCACCTAACAGATGTGCGCCTAAAATAGAAAATATAATTTTGCAGCAAAATATTGTCATTACAATGTAAGGTGATGAAGGTGACACGAGGAGGGAGGGACAGGATCCTGCCCACAGTTAAATGTGACTAACGCTTGGTTAACCGCTCCGGCTCAGATTTGTTTACTTCACAAATATTTACGTTGCATGGGAATGTGTTTTGCTTCATCGTAAAACGTGGGAAAAATGTACATAATATGTGAAATTTGGAAATCACTAATACGTGGCGGAGATCGACCCGGGATCTGCAGATTCCGAGTCCAGCGCTTAATGTTTTACATGATTCAAGGACATCCAACAAAGTCGCGCTAAACTTTTCAATGAACAGTTCCACTGTATAGTTTATATGAAAATAAGTTTATTTATTATATATAAAATATGTAAAGACGACGTGCGGTCACAGCAGCAGCCGGCACGTGCCGTCCGGGATGCTGTAGAGCGCCAGCAGCGCCGGCTGCTCCCCGCCCCCCGCACCGCCCCCCGCACCGCGCACCAGCCGCCCCACCTCCGTCTGAGCCTCCTCCAACAAGTCCGCGCGTTTTGCAAATCTATCTCAACACACAACAATATCAATTACATTAATAGCGTTATAATAGAGAGAGAGAG